TGGATAAAGAGAAAGAAAAGTTATAATCAAGTAGTAATATTGACTGTGAATCTTCAATATGATAGTCAATTTTTACACTGAAATCATGTACAAATATTTTAGTTTCAGGAAATTCTACAGTAAAGTAATTTGAGAATAATATTTTACATGCACTTCGAGGAATAATTCAGTTCAATGGGTATGAATTATATATTTATTTTAGTGGCCAATCTTGTCTTAAAAAAAAAAAAAATTAATTTCTGTGCATTTTCCTTTATATTTTTTGACTAGGACTCTGAAAAAGCCTTGAACACATGCTCTAGTGGCCAATGTTGTAACGTTAATTAACTTTGGTGAATTATTTTAAAGATTAATGGTGCAATGTTAATTAATTTTATAAATTAAATAAGTAAAAAAAATATTTTAATATCAATTTTGGGTAATAATTAGTGTACAAAAAGTTCTCATCGTTTACACTAATTGCACAAATCGTTCCTATTGTTTCAAAGTTGACATTTTGCACCTTCATTTTAATATTTTCTTGCGAAATGGGTCATTTCCGTGTCATTTCGTCGACTCCTTTCGTCAGATATGGGTAATTGGTGCAAAAGTGTCTATATTATTTGCTTTCATTGTGTAAATTGTTCTTATCGTTTCAATTTTAGTATTTGGACCCTCGATCGACCTTTCTTAGCGCAAAAAATCGTACCGTATATTCTTTCCATTGAAATATTATAAAATGATTAATTTATCCTCCTCTTTAAATTAAAAAAAAAAAAAAGAAATAATATTAAAAAAATGTAGTAAAAATCCTAAATTTCTAAGTAGTGCAAATGAGTCCCACTTAAAATAATTAAAACATATTAACCAAAAAAATTCATCTTCAGAAAAAAAAAAAGGACTTCTTTTCCTCTTAGTTGAGTTTGAATTGGAACAGTCAGGATTGTCTTGAGATTTGGATTAAGATCTTGAATGAACCCTCTAATGGAAAAATAAACCCCACCTTCAGACATTATTTTTTGAGGCAAAAAAATGGTGTCGCAGGGGATGGAGAGATTGATGGTGGTGGTTGTCGGTAGTAGGGTGCGTAATTGAATGGGGAAGAAGAATTTTTTTTTTATGTGTGTGTTTCTATTTTAATTTTTTTCTTACATTTTTATACTTTTTTTTAATTCTAATTTTAATTATTTTGGTGGTGGTGGTGGTGGTGGTGGAATGTAGGAGATGGAGGTCGGCGTTGGTGGGGTTAATTGGAAGATGAAATATTTTCGTTTGTTAGTATACAAAAATTTAGCAAATGTTCTCTGTTGTTTATACTTTAAAAAAAAATTCTAACTGCAATTATATATATAGAGGTGGAGTGAAGAAGACAAACTAAAGCGACAAGCAAGCAGTTGTTTGATACAGTTAAAATTTGATAAAAATGGATGGATTTCATGAAATGTGCAGTGAAAAGTAGATTAAAGTTATGTGATCAATAAAATATTCGGTTAAAATAAAGTCTCACCATCGTTTTAGTTGGTGAAAGATGTGATTAATATTGATTGTTTGACTCTAACTTAAATTATAATTTGATTTTAATCCGAAACAAACAGGGCATTAATTAAAAAAAAAGCTTACCAAACCAACTGAAAATGGCCGGTCAAAGTCACACATTTGAAAATATTATTAGAGGAGAACGGATGGCAGGTTGAAAGCCGGAAGCCTATCACAACTCAATTTAACTCGTGGATTAGCGTTGAATCGCGACTCTTTTTTTATAACTAGTTTGCCGCACGTGCAATGCACGTGCTACCAGCATAGTTGGCTATTTAATAGCGTAGGTGTAGAAGTTTAAGATAGATTTCACCATCCATGTACAAGTGAAACAATACTGCACATTTGATGACTTTCAACCATATTTTTTTCTTCAAAAGGTTATCATGTTTATGATGTGCACATTGTATATAAACAGAGAAAATCATGGAACACTTTCTTCTTGCTTCATGAAATCAAGTTCGTGG